ATGTTTTTTTGGGGGGGGGTGTTCCGGGGGAGTTTTTTTGGGTAAAACCCCGCCCCCAAGGGGCTTTCCCCGTCCCAGGAAAAGGGGCAACCCGTCCCGAATATTTTGGGGGGTGTGCCGGCCAAGATTTTGGCCCCCGACCGGGGAAATTCAGCAACAGGTCCCGTACAACCCGTCCCCCGAAACAGGGAAAAAAGGGGAATGTTTTCAAAAAAGGGGGGGGGGGTGGGGGTTTTTCGGGGCCCGCCCGGGTTTGGGTAAAATTTCTGTCCCCCTTAGATGGGGGACCCGGGCCCTAAATTTCCCCCACGAATGTCCGTGGGGGGAGGCCGCCAAAAAAAACTTTTTTTTTTTAGGGGTCCCCAGACGAGGACCCCGCCCCCCAAAAACCCCAACCCCGGGGGGCTTCCCCCCCCCCCCCCCGCCCCCCCCCCCCACCAGGCGTACGGATCGGCCGGAGTTGAGTCCGTCGTCCCAGGAGACGTTACGGCCACCGCTGTCGGCCTCGTCTACTCTCTCATGGACACCGGCAAGAACTTGACCTCCGCCGACGCGGCGTACGGCCTCCACCGCGCCGCTGCCCTCAAGCACGGGGCGTGGGAGGAGAGGGGCAACACGGACGGGTTTATTCTGTGGCAGCTGGGGGGGTTGAAGGGATGATGTTTTGATGTTTGTTTGGTGGTGTCATTGTTTTGTTGAGGGATTCCATTTTTTTGTGGATTGTAAAAATATAGGGTGCTGGGTTTGATTTTGGTTCGATGTTGTTGTGCAGTCACAGGCAACACGCCATTCAGCACGCGTGCTAAGATATATTTTAGTTCGTTACCCTCCAGGTTGAGATGAGATAGAGAGAGAAGAGAAGAGACCACTCCCGAGGGTCTCAAACAACAGAACAGAGAACAAGTGTACTACGTAGTAACGTTAACTTTTGACAAACAATACATGCAATCAAAGAGTACACAATACACCTGTTGGAGATATAGCCACAGCCGAAGGAAGGCGGGGTGAAGTCTACACAGTAAACTGGTTGCTGAAACGGTGGTGCTACACCGTGTTCTCCTATCCTAGCTTGCCCTTTTATTCGGTCATATGGTTCTTTCTTTCAACCATGCAGAGCGTGTGGATCGACTCTCTGCTTTTGTACACACACGCCATCCGTGGCTACGGCCTTCAAACCCTCGCCTCCTTCTCCTCGTCCAGAATCCCTTCCCCTCTCTTCTATTGCGACCGAGAAATGCAGGATTCGAGAAAGAAAGTTACGCCTAGACTCCGCCGCACACCGCTGCTGCGCGGTAACTTTGTCGACCCAGTGAACGGTTCGGCCAAGGTCGGCTTATCGACGGGTCCGGGGCGCAGCTGGCCCGTCTTTCTCACGGAGTTGTGTAGCGTAGCCTACCACAGAACGCCCTTGAACTCTTCCCGCTCGGCGAGTAGGCTACCGTACCTGCGCAGAGACGCAGCACACGAGTCCATAGAAACGTACGTAAAAGTTACGACTGGGGGTAGGGAGGGGGGGAAACGCTTGTCCAGTTGCAGCACAAAGATGCCTCTCAGTTGTACGACACGCCACCTGCAGCTCGGCGCTCTGTGCACACCTGTTCAGCTAGGGCCTGTATACTTCAACATCTATTTTTCGTTTTTCCACGAGCGAGCACCGCCGTTGGATCAGCTGCTCCACGCTCTGGTTTGACGACAACAACTTATTATATATCCACAAAGAACCGCAGAGTTGTTGCTTCTCGAAGATTGATAGGAGGTCTCCATCGACACAAAGGTATTCTTGCGCTGCTGCTGCTGCTACGCAGTGAATCGAACGGCCCCCATCGCTCACCAAGCACTTCGCATTGCACTGCACCTGGGCTGTGTCACTCTTACGTACGGCCACCCCCCCCCGAGGAACGTAACTCGTTCAGACCTGGTCAGATGTATGTACCTGGAGGCAGCCATGTTGTGGAGATGGGTAACCACGGACGCATCCTTCTTTGCCTTCTGCGCCGCGAAACGTTTGTACTCCCGTACGAGGCTGAAGACTCGACACGCGCTCCCAGAGCAGCGGTAGGTGTCGACGAGGACCTGCGCGTTCTGGTGGTAGCCGTGGACCGTCAGCTTCGCGTAGGCGCCATCGCTAGCGGCAGCGCGGGTGGCAGAATTCTCCTTCTCCGTAACGCGGAGGTGCCTCTGCAGAAGTCTCCCGAGTCTCTTGCTAGCAGCGGCAACATTCGGTGATGTTGGCGGATATCGATCTGCGTCGCACAGAGTTGAGAAAAACACGGGAATGTTTTTGTGATCATTGTAGACATCCCTGACGAAGGCCAACAACCAGAGATATATACCTTTTGGGCGGCATCTCGGCCCAGAAAAACAGGGTATAGATGCAAAGCACGGTGCTGTCTTCACTTTTCCCTCTCCACCGTCCAATGCCTTCTTCGTTATTCTTATTGACGCTTGCTAGGCAATCCGAGCGAAACTCTTGCACCGTTGTCAGCCCCACCTCCGTCCCAAGCTTGGAAGTGTTGCAAGCCCCACACCCGCCACCACCTTGCGTCATATTTCGAACACCACGTCGATCGCGACGCACACGCAATCAAGTCGAATGCAATACGTACACCCGACGAGCGATTTTTTCGAGTGAGCAACACTCCCTGCCGCGAATTACTGCAGTAAATATAGGCCATGGCTGCCCCTCCTCCCGCATGCCTCCGCTTGAGGCTACGTACCAGTGTTGCTGCCGGAACAGACGTTGATGACAGCAAGTTGCTGTTCAACCCTTGCCAGTCTCAGATTGGCCTGCCGTACTTCTTGTGTCAATGAACACGGTGATGAGCGCTTCTCCTGCGACAGAGAAGCAGACGGGTTCATCTGTGCGCTGCCGGAAGCGGAGTCTGAAGAAGCCTCAGGGTCTTCACCGAACGCTTCCCTGGCCGCTTCTATGACATCGTCGGATGCTTTGAGGGCATCCCGCTGCGCGGCGTTCAGGCTCACCGCAACGGTCGTCAAAGCTTTCTGCGAAGCCTCGAATTTTTCTACAGCCCCTCTGTACCTTGCCATCACGGCATCGGAGGCTACTGGAATGGCACCGTTCAGGGAGACGTCCACCAACTGCTGTTGCATTGCCTTGATGCTCTGCACGATGGCTACGGAAGTACTGGGCGGCCTCGATGCAGTCGAGTGCGGCACAGAGGTGCCCGATTCGGCTTCGATCACGGATGCCTGGTCTGCGGTGCCTGCAAATATTCACCAGCAGGAGACGACGGCGTTGTGTTGATCAATGACATCGCCTCTAAGATACGATGGAGAAATTATATACTGCTGTTGATAGATTAAGCCAGGATATTTCAGTCAGACAAGAGAGCGGGCGCGCGATACGCTCGGCGGTTTCGTATACTGTACGGCTGAACTCGAGACACGAACTGTTTTTACCTAGTGTACGCGACGATGGTAGGAGGAGCTGGACAATTATTGGAAGCAGCCACCATCCGACCGCCGGTAAAATGAGGCAGACAGAATGAAGGAGTATTTGTCTCGCTTTCAAACGAGTCCCGCGTAATGAGCGAGAGACACTGCTGTAAATTTGCGTAAGCATACAAGCTGGTCTGACCAAGACGCAAATTTGAAGGTTGAAGCGGATTTCCCACGCGGTTTTTTCGAGTTAGAACCTGAAATTTTGACACGGCATCTGCATGAGTAATATAAACACAAAGGCCACTGCGCTATTTGGATTTTTTTTTTATTTCGTAAGTTAGGCTGATATTAGTATTCATGGGTATATTTGCTATGCCAAAAAGTCGCAGAAAAAAAGAAAGAAGTCAAATGGCGCAGTGGCTTATTTGTTTGTTGTACTCATGGGGATGCCGTGTCGAAATTTCAGCTTCAAATTGGAAAAAACAGCGTGGGAATCGCGAGATCCTTACGTTGCCTCAGGTATCTCGTGTGTTGTATCGGATTCTTTAATAGGCCATAACTTCTGATGGAAGATGCCGTGAGCCTTGAAACTACCATCTTTGCTCTCGCGATGTTCCCAGGTACATGCACAGCAATTTTCAGCTTGATCTGAGAAACTTTTTTTTATGCTGAGTTCAGTACAGGAAGTATCCCAACTATGCCGCCAATTGATAGTTATATACCTAAAATCAACTCAGATCCGAAAAATTCCGGCACCTGCGCATCCCCTATGGTCTTATACGAGCACCCGCCAAATTTGAAGTCTAAATTCGTTGAAACAGCAGAGTGGGACATGAAAGAACGAAAGTTAGCTTCTTGGTCAGACCAGCTTGTACATACTTCCTGTGAAAGAAAGTATCACGGATTGCGATAAGTTGAGAGGCAAACGCTCATAGACGTGTCCGATGACACAGAAATTCAGAAAGTCTTGTAGTGATGTGGGTACACAGATTGCCTGGATTTCACCTGCCGTAGAGTTTATATCGTCGTCCGAGAGCCATAGGAGGTACCCATCTTCTTCCACGACGGTGGTGGACTTGTCCTTGTCGGCTCCGGATACGCTCATGCTAGCAGAGAGGCGGTCCCCCAACACTACGCGCACACACACCTCGCCACACGTGTTCCGATCCGAAGGCGCGCTTGTATGTGTACGCGTGTACAGGCAAGCTGGTGTCACGAAATACGCTTCATGTGTCAACTCGAGCGCAGGGTGTGTGCTTGGTCCAGAGGGAGAAGACAAGAAGAAGCTGGGGAGCCGGAGTGTCCGTGAGTCTGTCGGCGAGTCTGTCCGCGAACTTTTCTGAGGGGCAACAAAAATAGCTCGTAGCTGATTGGCTTGTTCAAACATTTGCAATTGCAAGGTTGAACCTCATGACAGTCTCGTAATGAAAAAAAATGTTCTGTCCGCGATGCAATCTGCCCTCCTCTCCCACGACACCCTTGCACACACACACCTCCTGTGATATCGCGGGCCAGGTTTTGGGCGTGACATACCCACACGGCACTCACTTCCGCGCTTCTTGTGTACAAAATGCGTTACGTATGCGGCATCGTCCCCCTCGTCATGATCGCGAGCGGCGAAGGTAAGGAATACACACCGTTGGGATACATTGCAACCATACCCGCTCTTTTCTAAAACGGCGGCTCCTTACCCAGACTAGCTCCGGAGGGGTACCCGCACCGCCGGAAAGCGGAAAATAATCAAGGCCAAGTCTTGTCAGCAGGTCTGTCGTGTGCTCCCTCTGTACATGTACGTAGTCGCAGGAGCAACCCGGTCCGTCTGTGCGATCGATCATGAATCGCCTCTCTGTTGGCAACAACGGGATTCTCATGTTGAAGTGGTGGCGTGGCGTTGTGGCACCCATCGCATGTGAATATCTAAAAGATGCTACGGCCCTCGAGTGAAGCGACGAGATGGCTGCCCCCGTGTGCCTGGATTGCCCTAGACCAATGGATGGTGTTCTGTTGTATGGTTGTCGTGCTTAAGCTGGGTGTGAGTGCGTCTCGCTCCCTCCGGTCTGGATGGATTGACTGCTTATTTCCACGGAACAACAACCTTAGGGCTGGATCGCCTTTTGGGGACACTTTTTGTCCCCATCTTCTTCACCTGGTTTACCTCGCGAAGAATGGCATGATTGTCTCCTCCTTTGCACTACTCGACCAGGGGGGTGCCAGGGTACACAGGGACGACTCTAGTCTAGTATGGATGCTGTGTAGAGTGGAGGAGTATGAGGGTAATCAACAGGTCGAATCGCGGGGCGATTACGCCGCCGGTTCAACAGCGAAGTTGCGCCGCGTCTGTTTACGCTTGGGTGGAAAGCGCTACTAGGGGCAAGCGCGGAAGAAGTACCTAGACCACCGTTGATAGGAGGCACCAAGCACCCTAGGGCTTGAGTTAGAAGGTCTCGCTTTCCCTCTAGAGAAATATCTTGAAAACCTCCTTTTCGTGCCCCGTTTACCACGCTCCCGCCAGTTGCTGTCTATAATCCCTATCAATTGTCCCCTCGTAAACGAGGGGACAATTGATAGGGATTATAGACAAGAGACGGCTCAAGTGGGAAGGCAGCTTTGCACTTGCACCCTGGGATGGAACTGTCTGCACCATCCGCCTAATTTTCTGTGCGTGGTAGGGGGGTTAAGCCCTCGGTAAACTTGTCCTCTCTCATCCCCCACCACCCCCCGCAGATACTGAAACTCTAGAGGTTGTATACCAGGAAGGTCCCACAGGGAGATTCCCCTAGTCGTTGGCACTCCTCATCTTACGAATGAATGAATTCATTTTATTTGCCTACAGCAGCAATCTGCAGAAAGTGTTGTTTGTTAGGTCACACACGCGTTCCGGTATCTATCCCGAGACCGCGCGCGGATAGGGAACCCGCGAAGGTGTGCCTGCATGTGTTGCCGCCCACCACCGCCGCCTCTGCCGGCCGAAACGTGCGCGTGCTGCACCTCACATCAGCTTTCGTCATGCCCTCGGCGTTGAGGCTGTCTGCCGCCGTCGCCCCAAGTGCAAGACTGCTGTACGCAGGGAAACAGGGCCGGCGAGTTGTCACCATGGCGGCGGAAGGGCTTCCCCCAGGTTTGTCCGCTACTGGTATTTTTTATGTAATAGCTGGGACAAACACCACCTCGCTCTGTTCTCGTTATTGCCGAGGATCCGGTGCAGCGGTTCCGCTCGTTGGCTCTTCCTGCTACCAAGCCGTTGTGCTCTGCTTGGAAAAGCTCCTGCTGTGTTCGTCCGTAGACGCAACTGCACGTTGTAGCTGGTGATGGTGGGGGAGGATTGATGTGTGCATATACCTGATGTAAATCGTCTCCAAAAATTGATGTGTGGGTACACACCCTGTTGCACCCGATCGATGCGCAAGGAATTCTGCACACACGCATGACAAGGAAAAATAGGGGAGTATTATACAGCAGTAGTGCGCAAAACACTCGGCATGTGCACTTTTCAAGATGCAAATACCACAACACATGCACCCCCTGGTCCATACCTCCTCATCACCGCCATCACCTCAGGCGACCACAGCAACAACGATCCCCTCGACGCCCAGTCCAGCATCCCAGACAGAGTGGGTTCTGCCGCTATCAGACGGCGAATCGACTCTATCAAGAGAAGCAGAGGGGCGGGCAAGAGAACACCCAGACAAGACGAAAGCATCCGCTGGGTGGCGTCCACAGAATCGGGACACCGCGCGGTAAGTTCGTGTGTACTTGCAAGGTAATCGATGGTAATCTAGGAATTACCAGCACCGCGTACTGAGACGCACCAGCGCTCACCCGCGCGTGCGCGCAGCAACAACTAACACCAGCCGTCCGTGCGGGCACGACAACGTACTTTGGATCCGCAGGAGTCAACACAACAAACGATGATACGAAAAAAATGTAACCGACCATCCCCCCGCCCTTTGAACTGGTCCACCTGTGCCCCCCCCCTCCCGAATCATCAGCGTTCCACCCTACTACCGCGCGCAGTTTGGGTCCTTATTTTCAACCAAGGCTCTGGGTCCTTCAGCAGCAGCAGCGAGCCACAGCGAGGACTGTATTGCTTGTGGTCCAAGGGCACCAACTCTGCCTTGGCCTTCGAAGAGCGGGAAGGGGCGCTGCGCTACGCCTTCAAGCTGAAGGAGAAGGGACTGGGAATCCCGAGACCGACGCGCGTCTCAATGACGGTGGGTAGGCGTATCATGCGCGGCACAAAATGATTGTGTGTTTGTTGGCGTGGGTTACGGATGGATGGGCTTGTTCGCTTGTCGTCTGGCTTTTTTGTTGTTGAGTCGTTCGAAAACGACAATGTGCTGGCTGGGGACCGAGTCAAGTCGGATGAAAATTGGCTCTTACGTGTGTGCAACACCAGGCAGGAACATGGTAAGACGGGGTGCGGGGCAGTGAACAAGCTGTTTTTGGGTTGATGACACAAGTCAAACACACCTTCTCTTCACGTTTACAACAGCAACGACGGAAACTGTGTTGAAAGCGCACTGAACCGAGGTCTCCGTCACTAATATCTTAACTGTCAATAACCACCCCCGCTTGTTTATTGTCTCCCGCAGATCAGTTTTTTCTTATATTAAGTGACTATTTTGGTCCTCTCTCTCTCCCTGCGAATGACAAAATAACCTTTGGTACCCATCTCTGCCTCACTAATTATTGGCTTGATCCACACCTTGGCAGGACCTCAAACGCTTCTGCCTGGACCACAGCTTCGGCATCTGGATGATCCCCGTCAACGTTGTGCCCGAAGCCCCCCGAAAGACTAAGAAAGATCTGGGCTTCGACCCTTTGAACTTGGCGTCATCGCCTCGCGGACGACGCGGCGCAGGGGAGGAAGAGGGATCCGTGCTGACGCCGGATGACGTCCGTAAGTGGCGGGCTAAATTCGAGCGGCTGTACGCTCAGGAATAAGCAAAGGTGAAACCGACTGACTGGCAGACCAGAGTGGATCGGGATCCCGACTGCGCTTCTGTCAGGAAGAATTGAGCCTGTCGTTTTTTTGGGACATCACTGACAGTGTAGTTGAGCGAGCGACCACGAGAGACTCCCGCGCATGGAGAAGAACGCGGTCAATCCACCGGCGGCTGTATGTAGCCTCCTTTCGTTGCTGCTGCTGTTGTGGGTGTTGTAACATATAATAAACGTTTGAGAGACCCGCTGCTGCCGGATTGTTGTGCGGGGAAACTCAGCGCAAAGACGGCGAATCAAACCGTCTGTCGCCGTTGGTTGGTTAACGGCACGAAAGAGGTAGGCGTTATGAAGTCGTTGTCGTGAATCATGTGCAGGGGTACAGGAGGCGGTGTTTTTCGACCAACACACGGCAATAGAACAACATAGTACGTACGTACGCTGCCGTACCACAAGGGAGGATGGATGCAATGAATGATATGAGTAAGCTGTGGGGCAGATGGAGAGCAATTTGACGGCGTCTGCCTCTGTAGCAGCACGAGGGGAAAGGGACTCGGGTTGTTGGTGGAGGAGGTTGGGCAAGGCAAGGGTGTTGTGCATCGATCGTCAGATGGGTTACAATTAATGTGTTGTATATCGTTGTGTGAATACGTTCATGTCATATGTACGCTCTGTTGCCTGTAGTGTAGACTGCTGTTCAAACGAAGTACATATTTATTCCCGAGGGAATTTTAAATGTTGTTGTGATGTATGCATAGACTAGACTGGTTTTGTTCTTTTCTCGCGGTGTTGAAGTTACGGGTGATGGTTTCGTGCAGAAACCAACCCTCGCTGGTTGAGAACCGGTAACATACTGCTGTAGTGCGTGCATTGTTTTGCTTCTTCTTTCGGTCAGCACCGCGAAACGACCTGCATTTGCGGGGTTTGGCGGAAGCATGGGTAGAAGGCCGAAAGAGTGTAAACGTACATTTTTTTCGTGAGACTTGTTTTCGTTCACGCCTGGCTCTTGCCAACCGCGCGTGTCTTCGCTGTTGGTTGTTGTAGCAGCAACGTTCTTGCGGTTTTAGTTTAACTTTAGATATGATAGAATTTTCTCGAAATCTTCATGTCTTGTCGATCCAGCAGCAGCTGGTGGTGGTATGCATAGTGGTGCTGGTCGGAAGTTTAAAACAAAAAATTGTTTGGCCCACTCGGAGCAAAAAAACAGCAGTCAGTGTGGGTGCGAAAGACAAAAACGAATAGAAATCTTCAACGCAGTGCTAGCAAAAAGCTGTTCGTTTTTTTTAACAACCGCGACGACGGCAGTGAGTGGCCGCGGTGGCGGTAGCCAAACCCGAACTGTAGATACCCTTGGATGGCCCCGTGCCTCCTCCTCCTCCCTCATAATTCCTTTCGTCCCTCTACCATAGCGGTGAGTGTGACAGGCCATGCCTGCTCCCCAACGCCCGTCGGCAGCCAGCCGTGGATCGTATCTTCGCGATTTGTTCGCGAAGCCACAAAAATACCGAGGAACCGTCGCCCAGAGGCTCCAGGTTAAGGGGGAACTTGCGGCCGAATTATCTGAGCGAAAAAAAAAACAAGACGCCGTGGTGGGTGTGTTGTTCTTGTTGTTGAGCGTACCACCCCCAGTCCGGGGAAGCCTCAATCTAAGCTTGTTGTATTTTTGCGCGGATGAGGCTCGGGGGGGGGGGGGGGGGGGGGGGACCCCCTTTTTTTATGCCTTGGGGGGGAAACCATTTGCCGGCCTCCCCCAAAAGAAGGAACCCCCGGGGGGGGGAAAGGGGGGGGGGCCCCCCGGGGGGGGGGTAAAAAAAGGAATGGGCAAAAAAAATTTTGGCTTGAAGGGCAAAAGGGAATCCCCCGGGGGGGGGCACAAAAACCTTAAAAATTTTTTTCTTGCCCCCCCCGGGAGTGAAAAAAAAAAAAAACCCCAACCCCGGGGTAATTTTTTTACC